CGCTATTTACATCAAATCTCGTAAGTTATCGCTATGCGGCTGCTACTGGCTCTTTTTTTCTCTCCTTCCCTTCTTTCATTCGTACTCTTTATTATTATACGAAGCTTGCCTGCTTTTGCCATCGAATAATGTCGCTGGTTAAATCTTCCGACACGGTGATGGCCCCACTCGAGGAACATTAACCGAATAAACTCAATTGTCTACTGTACTGAGGGTGCTTATTTTTCCCTGTTTTTTTATATAAGATGAAAAATTTAATAAACCATAGCGCCAATCTATATGTAACAAATGAGGGATAAATTAGGAAGGATAGTAGTGGTGGTGGTGGTGGTAGGCAGAGAGTTATACTAGCGAAAGGGCGGCTACAATTGCTGTGATAAGGATATAGTCACCGATGCACCTTCTCTCAGAGTGATCGATGCATTGAGCTACACTCGTACTCGTGTCGACCTCATATGCATCTGCATCTGCATCTGCATCTGGCCCAGGCCACTATGTACTATTTACTGGGCTTCCATCTACGTCCTCGACCTCATCGGCATCCATATGCCACACAGGGTGAGCAACACATATACCAGCAGCACCGAGCCGCATGTGTGCCCCAGTGCAATCATGTCAGGACATATTGCCCGTCAACGCGGACCCGCCGGCTCGTTCGTTTACGCAAATGATATGCCAAAGCGTAATCTCGGCAGATATCCTCTGGAGATTAGGCTGTGCCTAGAGAGGCGGCAGCCTGTACATTGTACATGCCAGGGCAGATAATGCCTTGGAGAAAAAATTGTCGTTCAATTTTTCCAAGAGAAAATTCATCATCGATCATCATGCACCTACTCTATATATTAGCATTCCCCTCCACTATATAGTTCTGTCAACAATATTATAGAAAATCAACAATATTATGTGTTTTTTTTCTTTCTTTTCTTTTTCTTTGCTTTTCGCGTAGTACACCGCAGCATCCGGAGTATCAGACATTGCTCAGTTACATATATTATAATTTCATGTCCCACGGCTGGATCTAGTGTCACTGGCGAATGTAAGTAATGTACCAAGTGCTACCAAAGTAAATGAGTATAGACAAGACCGGCGCCGGAATGAGGGAATTCAAATGCTATATACATGTACTTGTGAATGTAAACCGGCCCTTGTGAGATTCGCGGACTGACACCGGTCCCACCAACGCCTCACTTTGCGATGGCTGACCGCACCTTCCGGGCAATCCGAGTGAGCCGACCAATCCCTTCTTATACTTAGTTCCACGGTGTGTACATCATTTCTTTTTTTATTTCATCATTGTGAGGAAAATCGATTTATTTTTTATTTGATTTGTATTGTTTCTTTTTCTTTTTTTTGCCATATCGATATAGACATTGAATATCGGCGATTATCTCTTGTGTTAGCATGCACCAAGAAAGATAGCCTATTCCATTCCAGAAACACCTCCTTCCACGCGTAATCATCACTATCGTAATTAGGTGCGTCAGGGCTCGGTGGTGCGGGCTATTCTATAGTCGACAACAATTAATTTCACCCGTGTAGACACTGTCCATCATAGAAATAGTGAATAATAAGTGAACTACATTATCTCTATGTGAATTATCGAGTGTTACCATACGTGATGGGACAGAGACGCTGTGGCTCTCCTCAATTATTATTTTCATTGGATTTTTTTTTACTAGTATATTGATGGGTTTTAGTGATGAATAAAGAGTAGGTAGTTCCTCCAATGCTCTATTCGGCGTGATTTTTCGTGGGACTGTTGGCGGTGGACCAGCTGGCGCGAGCGTTTATTTCGCAAAGCCTTTACCGGCTTGTGTATATCCACACGCTGCCAATATAACCATGTTATCCCGCGGGCGCAACGCTATACACGAAAACCAGTTGCCGTAGCAACCCAACCAACGTTGACGCCCCTCACTAACTATCACGTGACTCTACGTCGACCAAACGGAGTTCAACTAGACCCGGGATGCTGGATACTGTACGAGGGGTTGTGGGGCGGAGCCTATCGTGTGGGGATGAAAGCTGCTCGACTAGCGGGTCGAGAAGTCGCCGAAAGTCACGTGCCGACGCCAAAAGACTCTCCATGCTTCCGTGCCGCGCGACCAGAGCCATCACCGACGGTTGCTCTTACCGATACTTCAACCAATAATTACACATTCATTATCATTACTATAATAAATCATTCAATATAGTGGACAGTCATTAAAATTTTATTTCAACAAGATTCCATTGAATACTCTATGCATTTGTTTCTCCAACTGTGATATCAGCAATTTAATCAACGCAAAGTGTTTTCTGTGATTGATACAGTGACCTCAGTGTGACTATATTCTGGATACAGTTGCCAATTCATCACAAGTCAAGTTTATTTGGAATAAATCACAATGCATCTCCAATCTTCAATAAAATGAAATGGGAGCAAAATGTTATAATAAATCATCGTCACTCGCTAAATTTATTTTGATGGAAAAAGTTTGCAGCAAAAAAGATGGTGATTATCAATTGATTTTGCACTGTCGCGGATGAGACGATTGAGTTGGAAAAAACAACAAAGTCAATGATGAAAATTGATGATACAGTTTTCATGGCCGGCCACAGCCACCCGCGGTCGGTCACAAAAGCCCTCTTGATGACAATCATTGTGTTGTTGGCAGCCATAGACATTCGTGCGTGAAAAATAGGCCCTAGAAAATAGAGAGGGGTGCTACTGAAAAATTTTCTAAGCTGTATTTAGTGTGAGTTGAAAAGAACACTTTGGATTAAGCTACAGGAATCTCACAGCCGACGGCCGACGGGCCTTGGGTTATCGATACACCATGGATCTCAGTACTGCGTATCGATACAACCAGAATATGATGGAATATTATACTTGTAAGCAATTTCTTTTCAATACTTGATGAAAATAATTATACATTCCCTAAAATCAATCTACTCCTCTGGTTTCTCACATAAGGCTGAGAGAATAAGGCCTTGGATATTTTCTACAAAAACTTGATAATCTCAATCCGATGACACAGTTTACAAATACTAGATTCATAAAAGACAACAAGAAGGAAATAATCGACACGGCACAATCGAAGAACGTGACGAGATGCGGAGCGAATGCCACTCTCAAGCCTTTTGTGCTGGGTGCTGGTTTAGCAATAATGTAAATTGTGAAACAAAAAATTCATGGCCACTTGTACTTGTTGTAAAAAATAATAATTGGTATTACTTGTCCAAAAGCATTGAATGGTGGGAAAAGTTGCTTTATGTAATGTGATTCAGAATTTGAAAAACCTTCCAACAAAGAAATATCAAATATCATACACTGGCCAGATCAAACTTCTCGGTGATCACATTCCATATATCTCCATTTTAGCCAATAAATCATTGGCGCAAAACATTGACTTCTGTCAAACTTTTTTTTTTTTTTTTTTTTTTATTGAGGCCTGCCCAACAAACTGATTACCGTTACAACAGTGGGCAAATATCGAGGAGACTCAAGGTGACAATCACTGACGAACCGGAAGTAGTTCGCACAGTTCGGCGCACAGTCAGGTCATTCGATCTTGCTCTACACCTAACGTTTTCTTTCCAATCGATCGCTTTCAAATATTCCCTGAAGAGACGGAAAAAAAATGAAAACTTTCTACTCATACCGGTAATCGCGAAATTTGTCTCAATTCAGAGAGGCCATCATCCCGGCCATCATCATTTATTATCAAGCTTCAGTGACTTTTGTTAGGATTAAAAATGGCTAAAAATTAGGGATTATTGTTTAAAAATGAAAATCTCTTTCTCTCTCGTGATTTAGAGTAATGATTAATTTGAAGGGAATAAGTATGGCTAGTAATAATAAGAGTCATGAAACAGGACAGTGTTGTACCACCAGTTCTATTTCGATGGAATATACTGTGCAAATATAATGCCCGGAATATATGGGAGTGTGTATATGAAGGCGATCTGGACCATGCTTGGTGTCCCCCCAGCATCAGAGGCTCGTACAGTTGTGGTCAGCAGGCGTGACGGCGAGTAGAGGATACAGAGAGAAGTGCTTGCAGTGCTGGTTGTGCCATTCCCTGTAGATGTATTATATATACTACTGTGTGACTCTCGTACCATGAGAATATCCCTCGCACACAATTTCTGGGCGATATTCCCCTTGACTACCGGTCGCACCACGGGGTTGCAACCATAAACGCGAAAGCCAATTGATTTGCGAGCGGAAGTACGTATCGTTTCTGGTAATGATCGTTACCAGTCCACCGACTCATAGTCATTGTCTTCTATCTGTGGTCTGTGTAATAACACCCAAAGCCCGGGTGTCACACGAAAATCTAATATTTCATTTCGAAAAAAAAAACAATAGCAGTCATACGACTTATTCTCCACAAGTGATTCAACTCACCAATAATCATTCATCCTGTCCAATTTTGTTACTGAGGAGGAAAAACGTACTGTTCTTAAACAATCGTTGTTTTTTTTTTTTTTTGCAAATTGATGCAGCCAATGTCATTGCAACTGACGATTGACAAAAAGAAAAAAAAACAATATACTCTATTCTTAGATTGTTGAGATAAAGTTATTAATCTAATTGGTGGGGGGTACACTACTGCCTCAAGCCTAGGGGTAGATTGAGCTAATTCGATTTTCAATCACACATGATGATAAAAGCTGTTACTGTTGTCCATCATCATCATCATCATTGTAGTTAGGGGTTGAGCACAGATCATCGAATCGTTGGTGCACTGGCACGAACGAGGGGACATATGTCGCACCGCACACAGGAACCCTCCATTATGATATTAGGGTGAGCTTTATCGGGTTAAGAGTGGGTTTTAATGGCCAAGTTATGATGTTACTGATGTTTATTTGCCAAGTGCCAAGTATCATGAAAACGATCAACTCCATAATTGAATTATCCGGCAATCTACCATAATTCTAGGGAGTAATATGTGAAAATATAAAAAGAAGAAAAGAAAAATCATTAAACTTTTATTTACGTTTATTTACAGGTCATGGTGGAGTGAATCAACTCGGTGGTGTCTTTGTGAACGGAAGACCGCTACCGGATGTAGTGAGGCAGAGGATTGTCGAGTTGGCGCACAGTGGCGTCCGACCGTGTGACATTTCCAGGCAGCTCAGGGTATCTCACGGCTGTGTATCCAAGATCCTGTCGAGGTGAGTGTATACAGATACATCTCTTCCCTTTGCCTCTCTTGCCTCAGCATCAACATCACTGGTGTCCATTACATCAAGCGAAATATTAGAGGCCCCTACGTTTCTTTTCTCACTCCTTCATTTTTATTTACTTTTTTATTCAAAGCTTTTATTACCATACATTCACTTACACCTGAGACCTCCTACACACTCATTAGTTGATAAAATTATCGTGTTGACATCTCAATGGAAAAATTACAACTCGCTGTACTCTCACAGTGAGATCTAATTTTCCAACTAAAAGTTTAATTTTCACTATAAATTTTCATCTAAACGTCTGATTCCATCGAAAATGTCCAACACGTTATTGTACATTGATCGAATGGACAAAAGAGATGACGCGACAGTGGAGACCGGAAAGAAGGTCCCGGGGGTAGTGAAGACGACGCGATGTGGTTTTCATGTTCTTTCCACCCTGGCTCACTCAGAGAACTCTGCCTCTTTCCATCATTCAAGAATGATTCGTTGTTGCAACTTTTGTGTCGCTTGCGTTTCGTCCCTCTGAGTATATGTCATTCATTCCCGCTCCAATTATAATTAGTCTTATAAATGGTTAATATTATTCATTGGAATTATGGACACGAAATTCCGCTCTTAGCAATTGAACCCATTCCAATTGTCATTATTTTTTACATTACTGAGGAAAGAAATGTGATATACCGGAGCTGTACTGTTTGAAATTGCTTTACATTTTTTTTTATTTCGTTTCATATCCATACTTGGTTAACAGTTGACAGGACCTTTTGTGACATTTTAATTGAACTCAATACACGCCTCTGTGTTGGCTGCACATCCGAATACCTTATATCCACGTATGGATTTATCGATCGTCAATTTTCAGAAACTCATTGCAAACGAGACAATAACAAAAGCTCACTATAATTGATGGAAAGGTTAGTGAGATTGGAGTAATGGATATCTCTACTGGAGTCGATATTCCATCCATTGAGTATTTGACATTTTTCCATTGACATCCAAATGATGCATTTGGATCGATTTTCAATGAAAGAAAAAATATACAAGAATATAGAGTGATGGACTGTATACAACGATTATTCAACTGCTTTCATTCAATTATCATTATCATTATTATTACTATTATTATAGTCATGAGTCGTAGATATTTTTACATCCCATCAAGTTGAAAACATTTTCAAACATTGTTCCAAAATGGTACATTTACGAACATACTGCATGGCAACGATTTCTGAAGTAATGGTATTTTTATTCAATTCAAACCCAACGGCCCTTTTTATTCAGCCACATTGAATCATTCATTTTTAGGAGTAGAATTGTCCCTATGTCAATTGTACCCTTTGGTCGATTTAAAAATCTCTTTCCCCATACATACGGAATCGAAAAACATGTTTCACAGTTGAAGGTGGGGAGTAATGAAAGCGGCTGAAATATCAACGCGTACATGTGGGATTTTTACACCCCGATATATCCATAATAATTCCATTGAGGGAGTGTAGAATTACCCCTTTGAGTGGTAATGACCATTCTTGGCCCTTTTTAACACTCAGATGAACGACTGGTTGACGAGTTATTTCCTCTCGCGCTCCATTTCATTCTCGATAGCTTAAATAGACTGAAATGTTATTTTCCTCAATCAATGTTTCATGTATTTTTCATAGTATTTTCTTCAACTCATCGTGTTCGCCGAGGAATTTATGTGAATACATTTACACATTATTCGAGTATATAAATTTTAGTGTATGCAAGTGGTAAAGTGGCTGTGAGTTTATATGAATGTGTGCTTCCAAACGTGGCCCAACCATCCATCAAGCCAACAAACTCGCAACCGAATCATTATTGCTGGGGTTTTGGTGTAATTGAATTTAAGCACTGGCAAAGATATTATTTAACTAATTAGGCACAAAGGTCTCGTTGACTGGGTGGCCCGACGGCCGATAGGATCTCCCGCTGGATGAACCTATATAAAGTATTATATACCCCAGGAGTTTCATCTCAAAGAGCACCCGACGCGTCATGCCAAGAGCATGAGATTCATTATAAACATTTACTCGCACCCGCTTTATCACATTGTTTCTTATTTGTTTCCATCCCACCGGGATCGATCTTTCTCCGTCTTATCTGCATCAACCACTGCTATAGAGTATCTCAATTTCACTTGCTTTCACCTCCAGATTTCTCTGATTGACTTAATTACCTCCGATGACTATGTTATTGCTTTTAATTAGCAAGTACTCTTTGGTCAGCCTTTGTTGTAAAAGATTTTTTCCTCGCCTTTCATCTCCCTCTGACTTGGGTCAGGTAATTATCTTGAAATTTTTTATTCACAAAAAAAAGCACAACAACAAAAATTGCTAGCATTAGAAAAGTCGCTGATCTCATAATTGATTTTTTGTTCCAGGTATTACGAAACGGGGAGTTTCAAAGCCGGAGTTATAGGTGGATCAAAGCCAAAAGTGGCAACACCACCAGTAGTAGATGCAATAGCTAATTACAAAAGAGACAATCCCACGATGTTTGCATGGGAGATAAGAGATAGATTGTTGGCAGAAAACATATGTTCTCAGGACAACGTGCCATCAGTCTCATCGATAAATCGGTAAGTGTTAGAAGTAGTAAAAAAAAAAAAAAGGAAAAAATTAATTTTCCCGAGTATGAATAATGGATCACTACTTTGCCACAAATCCAGTTGGTGGATTTGATACGCATTACACTTGATTTGATTATCATAAAAATCAGGGGAAGGAGAAAACTGGTAGATTGAAAGGCTAGCAAGTGAGTGAGACTTGTAGAGATAAGTAGACGAGATAATAAAGCCCCAAAGTAAGGAGTGATTTAATCTCGGGACATATGCGTGTAGATCAATGGAAAGCGGAGCCTCTGAATTGTTTCACTATCTTTGTTGCATTCACCAAACCATCGACTTTGTGAATTCCCGCGGGGCAAGTTGCACAGTTTGTGTGGTGCTGATATCCTGTAATACCGTCCCCGGAGAGGCTCACACCCCTCGAGTGCGCTGCCGCCTTCCCCACGCGGACTACGTAAAAACACTTGAATTAATCGGGGGATTCCCTGAGGAACCTGCAAAAGGTCAATGGGACCGAGTGCGGAGAGAGCCCATGGAAATAGCAACATAGAGAGAGAGAGAGGGGGGGGGGACTAAATGTACATGTATACTTGTATATACAGCTCTCTACAGTACTACATGAACATTAGAAAGCTTATCTTGATGCAGGGAATAGCCACCCTATAAGAGCCGATAACTAATCACTCGTCCACCCCCTCGTTCAGATACCCGATCGAGGAAAGCATATGTCGACTACCCTAATTTCTACAATTCGCTGATAGGGTGTCGGGATAAAACGTTCAAATTACGCCCCCGAGATATCACAAACTATTTCAATCTTATCCTCAAATCTTAATAGTCTTTTACGAGGTGCCAAGCAGTGCCAAGGTGTAACGTATGACTATCCGCAATCACATCAAATGTGTAAATAAAGGACAATATAAGAGTGAGTGAGTGAGTTAAGTTGAGAGAGCATCAATGAAGAAAATTACCCTATAGTATAGATTGATGGTGATTTTTCAAATGGGATTCCGTTTATCGGCTCGGTCAGTGACTATGTATGCATGTATGAGTAACGCGGAAAACGTCCTATGCAACATGTACCCGGTTTTATAAGATATCTATATATGTATATAGCGACTACTGCCAGAGGCAATCGTTATATAGCTTCGATGTGTGTCTACGATTGCAGGAGCCAGCAGGATTGCTCAGGGTGCGGCATGGCGCGGTGGTGGCTTGTTGCTCGAGTAAACTCCACCTCTCTGTATTAGAGTGTAGCTTCACCTCCGGCCTTCTTCTCGCCTCCACCCACCAATCTCCAAACGTAACCTCCTTGTTCCTCTTTTCCAGTCGTCCTCCTCTTGCACCCCACGTCCCCAGAATTCACCGCGTGGCAACCCAGATGTCGAGGTATTGATCTGAATCCGGCGCAGAGGAGATCGCCTGGAAAAACTTTACCCCGCGGATACTTACCCTACCCTATCTACCTTCACCTATCTACTAAAGCCAACTTCTTCCATCCGGACGTGAGCATCCGACAAGGCACTCTACGGCTAAAGCCCAAGTGGTTTACCCACTCCAGACCATTTTTTTACCTCTTATTTCATGTCCATTTCAAATCTTTATTTTCATCAACAATTTCTCTGACAATCTGTTTACTCACTATTGTTCATTACATTTTTCCTTCAAGTTTGTCAAAAAAAAGAGAAAAAAACCGAGAGTTACAAGTTTGTGATTTCATCCGGGATGAGTGTCGTCTGGTAGGAAAAACTAATGTGGCACACACCCTATATAAGTTATCATCGTCATAAGCAGTAGGAAAGACAATTCTGGAATGAGATATTCCACACAGTAAGACGAGCAATGGTGAATAGGGGGTTGGGGGGGGGGG